TCCATCCATCCATCCATCCATCCATCCATCCATCCATCCATCCATCCATCCATCCATCCATCCATCCATCCATGCACATACACATGCACATGCACATCCACATCCACATGCACATGCACATACACATACACATACATATACACATACATACACACATACAGACATACATACATACATACATACATACATGGCTCAAGCCATTTGAGGTCTCAACCTGGTCCCATACAAAGTCCAGGCACAGGACACACGCCATTGGAGCCGAGCCCGTCATCCACGAGGGCATTGGACTCCTTTGCCCGTGATCCTCGACTCCAACTTCGACATTTCTGTTGAGACCTTTGGCACCTGGCAAGTTCTCGCCCTGCACAAGGCCTACGACACCTTGCGGTACGAGCGCAGCCTTAGGGACATTGTGCACTACCACTTTGCCCGTGATCCCTACATCCCTGAAGACGCCTTTGGCCAGAACGTGATCGGGGCAGTGATCATGGACTGGTGCAGGGCCTACACCCCTTGCAGCAAGGCCACATGCAACAACTGGATATGGCAGGACAAGCTGTATCCTGGCAACAGGTGTCGTCGCTGTGGCACTATGTGGACGACAGCAAGCACTACCACAGGAAAGGGTAAAGGCTATGGTAAGCCTGCTGGCAAGCTCATCAAGGCTCCAAGATCCTGGCCCGAAGCTCCTCCCGGTTTGCCAAAAGTCAAGCCACTCAAGAAGACTAAGGTTCAACAAGAGGCCACCGAACTTTTGGCCTCCACTTGGACCACTCTGACTGAGGACACTCAGCATCGCTTGCAGGCCATAGGCATTGGCCCCACCAAGCCAGATGAACCAGAGCTCAAGGATGTGCTCAAGTCACACATGGAGGCCCTTCCTCAACAAGTTCAAGACCTGGTCAATAAATTGACCACCCCTGAGCCCTATACTGAACGTGAAATTGCAGCCAAGCTCAAGGGTCGTGTGACGGAGCTCAAGAATCTTTCCATGAGAAAGACCCAACTCCAGGCCAAGATCGACAATGTCAAAGCTCAATATGCAGCTCTGTTGACTGACATGCAGGAGCTCCAGGGCAAGCTTACCGAGGGTCAGCAGTCACTCAAGACGCTCTCGGATGACTACATGAAGGCGGTCAATCAGACCCCAACTCTTTCTGAACTGCCGACGGCCCATGGCGAAGCTGAACAGATTCCCATGGCGGTTGAATCCTTTGTCCATAGCTTGGGCATCTCTTTGACAGACGAGCAGAAGACTCAGCTGCATGGTCTCCTCAAGCGACCCAACAATGAGCAGGAGGACCCCACCAAGCGGCGGAAAACCGACATGCCAACTCTTGGGAAATCTGGACAGTGTGGGTAACATGAGCTCACTCATGTTTCAGGGGTGGACTTTCCCGGTTCCGGAAGATGACCTCATGTCATGTGAAGGCCAAGAAAGTCCGAGTTTGACACCAACCAGTGATGCTTTAGATTTTGTTGCGGATCGGCCATTGACAGTGCAATCACCAACAACACCGGTTTGCCGTGCTGTCACAGGCTCAGAGACGCTTACGGGGTTTTCAGCGTTGAGTGCAGGGGCAAATGCACTATAACCAGCTGAGCAATACAACAGACAGAGCTTTTCTACCTTGAGCAACGAAGATTCCACTCTTGGTAGACCAGAGCAACAGACCAGTTTTGAGCAACACCGACAGACAAACATTTCTCAGAGCACTCTCACTCCTCGGGCGCCTGATGGTTTGACCTATCTCTCCATTTTGGGAGGAGCACCTACTGGCACCTGGACAACACAGAGTCAGACCACGGTGGCATCAAACATGCAGAACTATGCCACATCCACCGATTGCATCCTCCAGAACCTCACCATGGTGGTTGGCAATCCAAGCCTCAGGTGTTTTGCTAATGCACCTTGGAGAGCTTTCACTTGGGTGTGCGCTTTGCTCCAAGAAACCAGCACCCAACCATGGGGCACGATCCAGGAGGCCGTCCAAGAGTCCATCGACACCGCAGAGCCAGTGGATCTGCAGGCCTTGCCAGGCTTGAGAGACCTATGGAAGCAACATGATCTGAACACCCAAGGCGATGCAAATCATTTTGTCAACTCTCTGTGGCTTCAGTCCCAAAGCAGAGCATTTCACTATCGCTTCGCAGAAATCCGTGAAGGAGGATACCTCACAGATCATGTGCAGCAGCCCATCTTGGTTCCCTTTCCGGATGATTGGCCTGACAATGTGACCTTCCAACAATTGGTGAACAATTGGGCCAATCAGGGCATGGGGCAATACTTGCTGGACGACAAGAAGATATTGGTATGCCATGTCACCAGGAATACCTGCATTGAAGGTGAAATGACGAAGCATCAAAAACCCTTCAATCCATATGGCACCTTCACTGTGCCACGGTCTTTGGATGGCTTTTCTCGCACATCCACCGAATTTGTCCCGGCAGTCCTGATATGCCACCAGGGCCGGACCCACCATGAGGGCCACTACTTTGCTATCTTGATCTACAGGGACCTCATGTGGATCGCGGATGATGGCAAGGTTCCACAGCACCTGCCACACTTGACACCGGCCCTGGCCAGTCAAATCACCCAAGTCTGGGCAGTCAACATCGATTGCTTTAAGACTCCACAACAAGTCCTGCAAGGGCTACCGCCAGCAGATGAGCCGGATTTTGATCCTCCGCTGCACCCCAGTCCTGTGAAAAGGGCCAGATATGCACAGGATCACAACTCCCTATACTATGCCAATGTCACAAACCTGGGCAAGCAAGTCATTGAATGGTACTGGACTCGTGACAGTGGCATCTACATCTTTGTAGAGACCCACTTGGACCCTCAAAAACATTGGGAGCTCAGCCAATATTTCAGCATCCGTGGCCGCACAGTCTTTGGCACACCTGCGGAACCGAACCAGGAACAAACAGGCACTCATGGAGGCATCATGGTTATCGCTGATCCAGCCTGTGGCCTCACGCCATTCCAGTCTTACACCAACAAAGGCTGTGGCTATCAAAGCTTTCTCTGGCAAGCCACCGAAACCACCATTCTGGTTGTTGGCCTTTACTTGAGGACTGGGGAGACCTTTCAAAGCGACATCAACTCGGACATCCTGGCCCAGTTGTTGTCACTGCTGACCCAAACAACACATCCCTATGTGCTCATTGGTGATTGGCAGAATCCACCTAGTGCCTTGGCCAGTACTGTCCTGTCTTCCAAATTTCACTTCGGCATTTTGGCACCAGATCACAGTGTACTGTCTGGCAACACCATCGACTATGCGGTACTCCACAACTCTCTTGCAGGCACCACCTCGCTCCAAGCACATTGGGCAGTTCCTTGGAGACCACATGCACTGCTCCAATTGACTTTTGACATTGAAGCTGCAACCATGGAGTATCGGCAGATGCCATACTTCCCGCCCATGCCCAAGGTGCCTGACATAGATTTTCGACCGTGGACCACTTACCAATCCCAGGCCAACAGCCTAGACCTGTACGGCATTCCTCCCAATGAAGCGGCTCAGGCATGGGCAGATTGGTTGTCCAAAACAGAGCAATACCTCCTCCAGGAGAACCCGTGGGCAGCTCAAGGCCGTGGCCATCATTTGCAAGCAGTCACAAAGCCTTTGATGCTCCAGCCAAAAGGACACACCTGGCGCAAGGGTCGCCCAGCCTTTTGGGATCAGATCAAGGCTGCCTTCCACCTGGCCTTACAAATGCCCCCGGATGTTCAATCTGGCCCAATCCGGGGTTTTCATCAGCGACTGCTGAAAGTGCCACAGCAATGGATTGGTGCACCTACACGGAGCCAGTTTCTGGACACGTGCCATCATTGGATCAGATATCGAGATCCACATGCGGCTGAGTTGATCCTGCAAACCATGACACATCAACTTCAGGAAGCACAACAGCATGCCCAGGAAGAAAGCACTTTGCAGTACCGCCAATGGCTTCAGGAGGGACACCAAAAGGGCCTTCGAGGGCTCTTCCGCAGTTTGAAAAGCAGCGAATTAGCCTGGGAACGGCCGTATCGCATGACACCAATGCCACAAAGAATGAACCAGAGACTTGCTGACTGGGGTGGGCTTTGGAAGATTCGTCAGGACAACGACCCCGCACCGAGACCCGACCTCAAGCTCCAGGCTCAAAGGCAAGCCCAGACACTGGAACCCATTACACCAGGACAACTCCAACGAGCCCTCAAGGCCATGCCAGAGCGAGCCAGCGGACCAGATGCAGTTTCAGTTCAAACGCTCAAGGCAACACCTCCATTGGCTCTGACACCCTTGCTGCAGCTGTTGCACCAGATGGAGAGGATGGCTGAACTTCCAACCCAACTGCAAATGCATCTTGTGGTCATGCTGCCCAAGAACCAAAAGCTCGAGCGGCCAATCACCCTCACATCCACACTGTGGCGATTGTGGTGCAGGCTCCGGAAACCACTGCTGGACCAATGGCAGAGGCTGCTGCCTGAAACCATGAGTCATGACAAGGCAAGACCAGGGGCGAATGTCCTCCATGTGGCTTTGGCCAGACTCCTCCGCCAAGAGGTCACTAAGGCCAGACAGAAGCATGGCATCACTGTCCTCATGGACATGTCCACCTTTTATGACACCATCAACCTATGCCGCCTGCAGGAAGAGGCCATTCGCTTGGACTATCCACCACTCATGTTGGAATTGGCC